GGAATTAAAATGCCTATATCTTGTGCATTCTTTCATTCATTTGGTTTGAAATTTAGTTTCAGATGATTGATCTTCTAGTCTCAGATGTATTTTTATGTACATTCTACATGTATATCCACACATATATGTAACCACATATATAATATTTTTTCCTTAATGGATGTTCTACGTTACTTAGTATGTCATCATATACTAATATCCATTGGTAAGATAGCAATGAATTTTGGGACTTTTTCTGAATTAGTCTTACAAAGGTCAAAGTAACATGCAGCTTACATCATGTGTCCATAGGAAACACTTCACTATTAGAGAACTGAGGATAGTTGAAAGCTGTACCTGTCAGTGTTGAATAATCTTGTTAAATAATTTGTGTAACAAACATTAGTGGTTCAGCACACTGTGCTCTTTCATTGCCTATTTTAAGAAACAATTTTACATTACGTGTCTATTGTGAAAAATAGAAAACCATTTCCTTATTCTATTATTTTATGAAAATAATGAAAGGCTCAGTCAGTAGCTGATAGTTTAAATTTGGTGTGTTCTGTGCATCATATCACAGTCAGAATTGTTGCTTTTTCTTTCTTTGTACATACAGCAAAGCTGCTGGGATGCCTTCCCCAGTTTCTCCAAAGCTCTCTCCTGGCAATTCAGGAAATTACACTTCAGGGGCAAGCAGCACTTCAGGGAGCAGTTCTTCAGTAACTATTTCACAGAAAATCCACCAGATGGCAGCCATCTACGTTCAGGTCACATCTAACTTCCTTTATGCCACTGAAATCTGGGACCAAGCTGAACAGCTTTCTAAGGAGCAAAAAGGTAGATTTCAGAAAATCTTTACATTCAAAAGATAGTAGATGGGTTTTTCAAAAACCAGACAAGTTAATTTTTGGTGTAAATAATTCATTATAAGTATTCATATTTTTAAAAGTATTGGTATTCATTTGGTGTTATGTGTTTTGGGCTTAATGGCATTAATTTGGATTTTTCTAGCTTTTAACAAACATACTATAAAGTTAATACTATGGTACAAATCATAAAACTATAGTACAAACATTTGTTCTACCAGTAGCCTTCTCTGTTGCTTCATTGTGGTGTGGGGTTAAGCTCTGAATATACATGCCTGCAGAGAATAAGATCTGACAGCTGGAAATGAAAGGTTTTGGTCATAGCCTGACAGTATATGTGTGTATATTGGCCTCTTCTCTGAGGACCAGCCTGGCTGAATCAGGAAAAGTTCATTAACAAAGTGATAAAATTTTTAGCTCTGGCAACTTTCAAAGAGTTACACTTACTAAGTTATAGAGAGTGCAATCTGTGTTGCTAACAAAATTACAGATGCTTGGGAGGGGAAGACTCTTTTGTGAGCCGGTCTCAGTGATCTATCATGATAAGGGTGATATTTTTTTAAGCTCTTCTAAAAGAGGTATATACTTTCTCTTCTAGAATTTAAAATGTATCTTTAAATTCACTTAAAATTTATTTTTTTTGTAGTGAAAACCAACTAGTCACAGGAATATTTCCCAATATCTCTAAGACATCTAATATTCATGAAAATATCTACTAGATTTGTAGGCAAAAAGCGTCTTCTAAAATTGGCTTATTTCATTTTAATTTAATTCACTGAAAACCCTCTAGGGAAAAGAAAATGATGCCAGATTGAATTGGAAAATGGAAGATTTCCTAAGGTAGCATAGTACAAAGAAAAGAGTATTAAATTTGTTGTTCTGTCAAGTTTATTAAAATGTAGTTTTACCTGTAAATGCAACTCTGGCAGCAGATTTTGGTTTAAAAAACATCTGGTTTAAAAAACATCTGTAAGTGGAATGGGCTGCTTCTGGAGAGAGTGGATTCTTCTTCTGCCAAAGGTCTTCATCTGGAAGTTTTGGTGACCACTTGTCTAGGATGTTGTAGAAAGTGTTTCTGTACAGGTAAGGTTTGGAGTAGATAACCTTGAGGTGCCTTCTCATGCTGAAATTTAGTGAGTCTATGCCTGAGGTAGAATGTTCCCTAGAAAAATAGCTATTCTAAATATACATTGCTTAATATTTCTCAGGGGAGGGCAGAAAAAAACTTGCTTCCTTTTTTCCTGTAAGTCATGGGTTTCTTTTTACTGCACTGTCTGGCAGATGACACAGCAGTCACATAGGAGACTATACGTGATTTAATTAATGTTTTTGCTCATTTTAGAGTTCTTTGCTGAACTGGATAAAGTTATGGGCCCTCTCATCTTTAACTCAAGCATCATGACAGACCTAGTTCGTTACACCCGGCAGGGACTTCACTGGCTTCGTCTGGATGCCAAATTGATATCTTGAACTGAAGGATTCTTACCCAGAACAAATTCTCGTTGCCTCTGATTTTTCTCCACAACACTGTGTCATATCAATAAGGAAGACTGCCATAACACTGCTTAGTCAACACTAAGAGCAAGGAATGCTTCTGCCTCACTGTCTCATGTAAAAATTGTGTTTTTTGGTTTTTGTTGTTGTTGTTTTTTTAAACCCAAAGCCATCATGTTAATGGACTCCTAAGGTATTCCCTATTTGGAAAGTTATTTAAGTATTTTTACATCTGCAGCATATTAATAAGATGCAGTTTTAACTAATCTGAAATGGAATTGAAATTCTAGTTGTAACGCATAAGTAATCAATTTAAATCATATTTATTTTAATTTTTAACTGTCCAGTTTGGTGGGACTATTTTAATAATTATTTCTACCTATATAAGTTTATCCTACCAAATGCTTAGCTGAAATTTCATGCAGACACTTTTATTTATATACTTTAAACTTTGTTCTCAGTAACGTCTCCATGTGGTAAAGCTTGTAAAAGAGGATCATTATATTCTCAAATGTAGAGACGTGTATTAACACTTAGTCTGCCGCCTCCTACTCAAATCTTAAATGACAACTACAGTTTTAGTATTGCAGAATTTGTACTTAATGTTAAGGAAAAGGACCCAGAAAGGTTCTTGAACATGTGAAAAGAAATTTAAATATTAGAATATAGCATTCTAGATTGGGGGAAAATCATGTTTGATTCAAAATGGATTATTTTAAGAATCACGATCACACTTAATAATACCATAGCAGTCTTACAGTGTTACAATTACTTAAATTTAATGAATTATGAAAGAGATCAGGTAAGAACATGGACTCTGGGAGATGTGCATCATACGGAAGTTTGGGTTTGTTTTTTTTTTTTAATGAAAGGACAATCTTGAACCTTTTTAATTTTGTTGAAACTTTGTTGTCTTTGTTTTTGTCAGTCGATACTGCATTGAAACAGTATCATTTACCATTGGAAAAATGAGTTAGAGGACTCAGAGTCATTACCTCTGTCACTTCCAATGACTGAGAAATTAGAAATTTTGTTCAAACATTCACATCCATCTTCAGAATTCTCTTTATTTTATCTTTGTCAACTCGTCTGTGATATTCTGACATGTGAGTACAATGACTGCTGTGGAAATGGGCTGGAGTTTTGAAAAGTGTGTCCTATTTTACCTTACGACTTCAGCAAGGTTGTAAAACCGTTCTAATCTGGAGACGTAGAACTTGTTTTAATCATGTATTTACCCCATTGTATTATGAAGGCCCCCAATGAGTGGTGATTGTTTCTGTTGGGAGCAGAATATTCACTTTAGAGAAGTATCTTACTGATATAAAAGGAGAGCCCTCCACGGGTTTGAAGTGGCTGCTTTTGTAAAAGTTGTGCACCAAAGTACCTTTCCCTACAAGGTGCTTGTTGGAATACAAGGTGAGAAGTGTACTGTTTGTACTTTGCTTAGTGCCCCTATCATGTCTGGTGTGCCTTAAATCTTACATTTAGAGGAAGACTTGATGGACTGTTTACAGACGAAGCGTCACAGGAGGACCAGGTCTACTGTGTACCGCGGGTTTTGTGCAGTAGTTAGGTACAATTTCATTTCCTTTTAAATGTTTCTTTAGAACTAACCATGTAAAAATCATTGCTTTTCTAAAACCCTTTAATGTAGTGACTTAGTCTAAATCTAGTGAGTCTAGATTGTATAAGGCTGCTGAAATAAGCAGATTTTCTTCCTAATGCCAGAAATGAACATATACTTTCAGGAAAAAAAAAGAGATTGCTCTCGATTTCTGGATGATCATCGTGTGCCAAAAGGGTGGCAAGTGCAAAAAAAGAGGAATTGAATGTTGAGTTGTAAACGTACAACATCAAGCACTGCAGTTTATTCTCCGGGTTTGGTCTTTTAAACTCCTGTTTTACAAACTAGCAAGCTTTTATTGTATTATAGTTGCATATTTGTAGGGCTTCCTTGATTGTTTTGTACTTCCAAAAAAAAGATGGTTTTCTACTGCCAGAGGAGGGAAAGTTAGCAGACCAATGTTGAATTGAAAACTTTCCTCTGGTGTAGATTTCTGTTGGTTTAGCACCCTTCTGAATTTAGTCTGTGTGAGTGTGTGTGAGAAAGAGAGAGAGAAACTGTTAGGGGCTGTATTCAAAAGACAACCTTCTTGTAGAGTTTATAATGACTTTTTAGTAAGCAGTTTTTCAGCTAGTATCAAAGCAGATTCATTCTTTCCCTTTTAGTTCCACAGTGTCTTAGAGAGACCTTAAGGCCCAGCGTATTTTATATACCCTTGTATGGCCTGGTGGTCAGCAGAAACTCTGTGTGTGTGTGTGTGTGTCTGTGTCTGTGTGAATGGAAATTCTCATGTATGGTGAATGGTGCTGCACTAAAATACTCTCTTTCAAATTGTATTCATACTGGGATGGTGAATTCTTTTCAATTGAAGAACATTTCCTTCCAGTTGGTAATGGGTAATAGAAAGTTTCAGTCTGGATTTCAGATGCCGAGGCTTTTGGCAGAAACCCCAGTAGCAGTGTGTAGAAGGTGGCCTCCCTGACTCTGTCTGCAGTCATCTGGATATTTGGCTCTGTTGTAGGTGACCATTCCACCTCAAGTTTCTCATGACTTTTTTGTTTAATTTTTAAAATTGAATATAACTAATGACAAAAGACGGATCTAACCTTTAATGTATAGATCATCTTAGAAATACAGCTATTTAATCAGATCACATAGTTCATTAAAGACTGATTTTGTCTGCCTTCTGTCATACATATGTGATTTAGTTAACATTTTACCCTTTATGTACAACCAAAGGCATGTCCAACAATGCTTTTTTCATCCTGGGAGCCTCAACATAGCCTGGCTGAGCTAGGTCATAGGGACCCCAACCTCTTGAGATGGAACCGTTCTTCACAGCCACTGCCTTCAACTGTCAAGATCTTTTTTTCTTCCGTCCCTTTCAATCCTGCTTCAGGAAGCAGACCTGTGGCTTCCGCCTCGCCAGGCGGCTTATCCGTGATTGTTGTTGACAGCATCAGTACTCCCTCCTTTACAGCAAACCTCGAAGAAGGTGATCTTTTCAGTTCTGTGCTGTGACACAAGATGAGATTTTGTACATATGTCTGCCAAAGAAGGTGTTTGAAAAACTCTGGCCTAAGCCAACAATGCAAACCAGTCTCAAATAATGTACATTTGGGGAAAAGGCCACTCCTTATTGTACCAAGAGGGTTCCTGTTATTGTGGATCGATATATATTTATATATCAGTGTTGCACTTTGAACCACTTGTAGTTTGACTAAATCCTTTTCCCCACATCCATTTCTCCTTTTAATTAAAGAAACATTATAATCAGACCAGGCTGGCTCAGACAGCATAATTTTATATTGGCTGATAGAAAGTTTATAATATTATGGAATTTATTTGACTCATAACAGCTGAGTTTCTCCTTGTGAAGCAGGATTACAGAAAACAAACTCTTTAAAGCTCAAGGCTTTGGTGTTCATATCTAGTGGATTAAAAAAATAATAATAATCCATGTGAATCAGTGTAGCCCCAGTCGTTTTGGTTGAAGATGATTTAGCCGTAAAAGGAGTACATTCTGCACTCTTCTTGGTGTGATAGTGAGCAGTTTGAATCTTTAGAATTATGTACACATACTCACTTTATATATAATGTATTTTTTAAAAACCATGAAATCAGTTTGTCTAAAGTATATATGTGTAGTATTTTAGCTTAGTGCACCCGTTTCCACATTATTTATTAAATTGATCTAAGTCACTTTCTCAGTGACACTTCTGTCACTTATTCAGTGACATTTGTTGCATAGTAATGTACAAGAGTGCAATGTGTATTCCTTTAGATTAAGAGTTTATTTGCAGTAAGCTCATTCTAAAATGTATCTGTGCCCTTTATTAATATGTCAGGGCTTCGTAGGGTTGGGGGGGTGGGATCGGGTGGAGAGGAGTCTTAATTTTCCAATTGCTATTTGGATAAAAATGGCCTCATTGTATATTTTATTTATATAATATTTTGCTTTGTCACAGGTGCACTTAGTGGGATTTTTGTATGAAGTAGGTTATGTTAAGCCTGAGCAAGTCCAAGTTTTAAATGAACACACCCCACTGGGGAATAACCATTGTACAACCTTTTAGAGTCTATGACTAGAATTCCTCAATTCTTTGAAACACAGATTTCATTATCTTTAGCTTTAGTATAAAGTATGGTGGAAAAGTGGGTTTTCCCCCCTAGTAATAGGTAATGTAGACCCAGACTAATTCTGCATTAAAGTAAGTGATACATGAATTAGCTCCCTTCCAGATGACTTGAGAGTAAAGTGTGACCAACAGTTTACATTAATTTGCCAGGGTTTGGTGATTTCTAAAGTCCTTGTCTCTTATACTTAGCCAATGGAGAACCTATTTGGCTCCCTAGAGACCAGAACTAAACAGTTAGTTGCAAGAGCAGAAGTCACCTGTCAGAAGATCTTTGTTAAGGATGATTTTAAAGGTAAAGTACTTCTTATTAAACTCCATTAGATCTCTAGACCAACAGTTGAGTTAAAGAAACATGATGCTTCCACCACAAGTGGTCAGGCTGGGAGTTAGGGCTAGATGTAAACATAGACTTTGCCTGTGAAAATCTTAAAGTTGCAGACTGGTTCTCATGCTTTTAAGTAGCCTTTGGAGGATAAGCCCATTAATCTTCCCTATGCCATTATTCAGCATGTCTTAAAATGAGCAAGAAAAGGCTGCCCAGAAATGTGGTTTAGTTATAACTGTTCACCTTTGAAATTCTCTGCCTGTTTTATTTCATCAGGAAAAAGTGACTGGAAATGCTGCCTTTCAAGTCTATGCCATGAGGGCCCATATTTATTCTACTAGCTGGTGATGTAGACTTTCAAAAAATGTCCCTGTTTTTGTGACTTTATGCATAACCCTAGCAGATTATTCAAGTGAGCATTCATCAGTATTGTGGCACTCACTAATTGAGTTGACTGCATTGATATGAATGCCTAAAAGTTCACCTTCTAAGACCAGACATGGTGTTAGCAAGCACAGCTCCTACAATTTGTATCTGGTCTCCCTTTTGAATGATTTGTATATGGAGGATGAAGTGCTTATATATTTATTGAAAATCCTTTATCTTATTTGAAATTATAATTATTTGGTGAATAAGGGTTTGAGGGTTTTTTTGTTGTTGTTTTGTTTTTGTTTCGTTTAGGGGAGGGATGTTGATGAAGGGAAGCTGGGGAGGGTAGCTAACTTGTAAGTCCTGGTTGATCCTAAAGAAAAGATATTGTTAGTGATTGACAGGATGTCTTTATTTGTACATGACTCAAGTCCCTGTTTTACATTTGTTTTATCCAAATTATTTAGGCATCTGGTATTTTCAACCAAAACTTAAAATATGTACTGTGAGTTTTATTTGTTGCAATACACTTAAATTTCAAGGGATAGTTTGGGGCTCAGAAGTTAGGGTTTTAAAGTCAATATGTGCATTTCACGTAATAAAGCTGTTAATGGTGAGCAAAGTATTATATGCTAACTAGATTTTTCCACATCTGTATAGTATATTCTATGTATTTTGTGGTATTGAGATTATAGAAAGTTTAGAGTGTCTGAAACATGCATTTAATGTGTATTTTTAAACAAATTTATGGCAATTAAAATATTTGGAGAAAAGGGTATCACATTTCAATTTGTAAAGATCTTTTTAACTACTGTGTCATTAAATGCTTTGTATAATGCAAAACCATAACTGGAAAAACTTAAGTTTAATAAATATCAAATAGATTTTTCTGTATTAAACTTTATAAATGCTGTGATGTTGACACTTCTGTTTTTTTCCTCCTAATTTGGATTCTCATTTTGTATTTTTGCACTGGGTTCAAGGACTCATAGTCCTTTGAAAACACTTTTTGGTGGGTGTATTTTAACCTTATCACAAACCTTAGGTCTGCTTCTTGATTGGTTAGTAGGATTATTGCATAGAAATCAAATTATTGAAATGATGTTTTACAGAAGTCTTAGATTTCTTTCTGAGCTTTGTTCTTAAAGTAAGAATTGTTTCAGTGATAAATTTGCAAGATTTTTGAGTTCACATCTTGGGTTTAATTCAAAGCATGGATGTATTTCTTGGAAGGGTGGTAGGTTTTGAAATTATAGACTTTTGCCTTAAATTTTAACATTCTACCATATTATTCCTATTCTTTAGCATGTTATTGACCCCTTTCCCCAACTTTCCAGACTGAAAATTTTTCTAGCCTGTTACAAATAGCCTGTGCATAAAATAATAGATTTATTTTTCTATATTCATACTCCAAAAGCTTGAATTCCAGATTTGTTTCATTATTAAGAAAAGGATTTTTTTTAAAAATTTTTAATTTTTCAGATTTTAACAATAATACACGCATATAAAAATACAGACTCTTAAGTTCAAAAGTTTAAATGTCTTTATCCACATGTCTGTGCTGTAAGAATGGGGGGAGGTGTCTAAGTTAAAGTATGCATCTGCCTTTAAATATTAAGTAGCAAAACAGCTTCACAGATAATTCCAGTAGTTATGCAGCTAATAATCAATATTCCATAAAACGGAGCATTGTTGGAAGCAGCTGCTTTCTTTTCTTTTCTTCAGTAAATATATTATTCCTGGGTCCCATTGAGGGAACAGTGTTTTTTCCTAGGTGAATAAAAAGATGTTATGAGGCAGAGGCAGGGCTCTGATTATTTGTACATAGATACATACATACACGCACATATACACACATACACACAGAGAGACACACACATGTATGTGTAAATAAAGCCTCTTTATTGTCTTGCCTGGTTTTGGAATCTCATAAGGTAGAGAAAATGGAATTTGTCTTTCTAAAAGGTCTGATCACCTGACTTACTGGTAAGCCAGCAGTGAAAGAGAAAAGAAGCAAGCCTCAGCCCCTGGACTCCTCTTTAAGATCTACCACCATCCCAGACTACAGTGCCCGTTCTGTACCGATCATGAAGAACCAAGGATATGTATGTGCTCCCTTTTTCCTTGTTACCCTACAATGTAGGCTAGTATCTTCAGATTATCCCTGTGACTTAAGAAACCTTGATCTCCTGAGCCTGACAAGCCTTCTTTTCCTTCTGTGCCACCTCTGGCAGCTAGGTGGTGCAGTGGCTAGAATGTGGTGCCTATAGTCAGGAAGACCTGATTTTAAAATCGGCCTCAGACACCAGCTTTGTGACCCGAGCAAGTCAACTAACTTGTTTTCCTATTTTCTCATGTGTAAAGTGGGAGTAATGCTACCATCTGCCAATCATGGTTGTATAAGGATCAAATAAGATAATGGTAAAGTACTTAGCACAGTGCCTGCCACATACTAGGTACTATATAACAATTATTATTAGCTATTATTATCTCTTCTCTATACATACCTTCCCTTTTTTCTAACCCCTTCCCTCCCCCCCCCACCCCCCAAAAAAAAACCGCATACAGATAAACACATATCCTTGGAATTGTAAGTACCTGCATAGTCTTGTGATACATTCAGAGTCATCACGACAAGATGCCCCAATGGGCCTGAGAGAGAGACTTCGCCAGAAGGGGGTCATCCTTCTTATTCTCTGGACTGAGCTCTGCTGGGGCAAGGGAGATGGTCCCACCTAAGGAATAGGATCGAAGGTGACAATCATTATAGATACCCTTGAAGTAATGCCTCCAGTTTTCCTCATAACAGCCCTGTGAGATTAGAACAAGAATAATTAGCCCAACCTCAGGGGCAGCTAGATGGTGCAGTGGATAGAGTGCCGAGTCTGGAGTCAAGAAAACATCTCCTGGAGTTCAAATCTGGCCTCGGACACTAGCTTCATGACCCTGGGCGAGTCACTTAACCCTGTTTGCCTCCATTTCCTCATCTGTAAAATGAGTTGGAGAAGGAAATGACAAAACTTTGATGTCTTTGCCAAGAAAACCCCAGACAAGGTGGTGAAGAGTCTGAAACAACAACGCCCAGTCTTAGGGAGAAAGGGTCCTCTAAGAGGGAAGAGAATGAAGGTGGAGCAGCCAAATGATCTCACAAATGAAATAGGTCCATCTTCCCTCAGGAATCTTACAGTCTGCCCACAAAGGCTGAGCAATGTACCATAAGTATATTTGCCCAGAGTGGTGGGTAAAGGCTTACCCCTTATCCTTACCTGTTTCAGCAGCAGCAGGTACACCATGAACAGGGCTAACAGCTTAAGGTGACCCATGGCAGTGTGTAGGAAGCTGGAGATCTGACTGCCACCGCAGACCTTTTGCCTTTTATAGGCTCAAATCAGCCCAATGATTAATGGCTGCGTGTTTCAGGGGGCAAAGGTTGGAGCAGAGATCAGGGAAACTTTAATAAGTTAATGTCTACTAGAGCAGTCTACTCAAGGCCTGCTCCTTAGGCTGATTCTGTTTGATGATTTCTCAGCTGACCTTTGAAATGGTTGTTAACTGGCCTAGTTTACATTTTACCCACTTAAAGAAAAATTATATCATGGCTACCACCTTTTTTTTCCCTCTGAGGTCCAAGTCAAGCCGTAGACATAAGGAACCCGACCATACTCCATTGATGTCACTAATCAAAATGTTTCAGTAATTAGCTCTTTTAAAAATAGTGTTAATAGTCACAGGACAATTTGGGTGTGTGTGTGTGTTTTAAAGTGGGGGTCATGTGAGCTACCATTTGTTATAAGTGCATTTTCTACAGTCTCAAACCCTGTGTGGTTAGCTGCCATTTTTTTTAAAACAAAATATGTTTTGCTTTGTGTTTTTAACAATACTCTGAATTACCAGTAACTTCCTCACCCATCCCCAATAGGACCTTCCCTCAAAACAAAGTAGATACATAGATACTCAAATCAACACACTGGTAGAATCTAATAATCTATCCCTCATCATCTCTGTGCCTTTAGTACACCACTTGTTATTTCATTTGGTGTTCTTTTTATGACTGTAGTTTTGTGAATTGTTCTAGTGCTCATTTCTCACTTCATCGGTTCATACAAAGTAAAACTATAAACAGTAGATCATATTTTAAAATAATTGTAACAGCCTATACAGAAAAGTCTTGACAAACCATAACATTCATCTTTGTTTCAATCATAAATAGATCATTCCTTAATATGTCAATGGTGTCTATAAAAACAAGAGCTAGTGTCTGTAAATGGAGAAGTGTTAAGAGTCTTTTCAATAAGATTAGGGGTAAACAAAGATGTTCATTATCAATGCTATTATTGGTACAGTGTGTGTTAGCTAAATAGCAACAAGACAAAAATTAATGAAATAAAACAGGCAAAGGGAAAACAAATATGTCATCTTTTGCATATAATAGAGAACCTAGAGGTTCAACTAAAATTAATTGAAACAATAACTTAGCGAAGTAGCAAGATATAAAATAAACCCACCAACTCACTAACCTTTTTTGAATATTACTGACAAAGAGAAATTCCGTGTAGAGTAACTAGAATGCATGAAATATTTGGGAGTCTACCAAGCTACGTAGGAATTAAATGAAGACAACCACAAATACGTTACAGAAAATACCTGAATAATTGGAAAGACATAAATTGTGCATGGTTGAACCATATTAATATAATTACAGTGACAGTGCTAATAAAATTTACTTATTTAGGGTCATACCAATCAAGTCACAAATAATAGAACTAGAAAAAATTACAACAAAATTCATGTGGAAGAACAAAAGTTTGAGTCTCAAACTTTTCTTGAAAAGGAAAAATGGGAAGGGGACCTGACAGTACCAGATATTACCTTGTTCTACAATAATAAAACTATTTTGTACTGGTTAAAAAATAGAAAAGATGATCAATGAATATATGAGAAACAAAGACCCAGAAAAAAACAAAAGAGCATAGAGTTCAGTAAACCCATAGACTCCAACTATTAGGGTAAGGATTCACTAATAACTGCTGGGAAAGCTGGAACGCTCTGTGGTAGGAATTAGGTCTGTCTAAGAGCAAGGGTTCTTAACCATTTTTCTGGCATAGATCCCTTTAACAGTCTGGTGAAATCCCTCCTCAGAGTAATGTTTTTAAATACATAGGAGTCTAATTGATTGACTAGTCAAAATAATTATTTTTAAAAAGTTAATGGACCTCAGGTTAAGAACCCCTACCTAGAGTCTAGACTAGAGACGAAGAACATTTTACACTACATACCCTTACTAAGCTACAAATGGGTATGTGGCCCAAATTTAAAAGGTCACATCGTAAGAGGAGGAAGAAAGGAAGTATCTTTCATACTTATGAGTAAGAGAATGGACAAAGATGATCACAGGAGAGAGAGAAGATGAAAAGTTCTGATTAAATAAAATTAAAGCAATGCAGAGCAAATTTAGAAGGGAATCTTACCAACTAAGAAATGGTTGTAGCAAGTTTCACTGATAAAGATATGATATCCAAGATACAGAAGGAGCTTTCAGATATGAAGAACAAGAGTCATTATAGATAAATGGTCAAAAGATATAGCCAGTTCTCAAAGAAAAAAAGCAATCTGTGTGTGTGTGTGAGAGAGAGAGACAGATGGGTGGGAGGGGGGTAGAGGATGTGCTCCAATTTTCCGATAAGAGAAATGAAAATTCAGATAGCTCTGAGATTCAATATTACACATATTAGAGTGGCAGATAACAATTTAAAAAAGGAAAATGTTGAGGCTGTGGACCAACAAGTCCAAAATGCAGAGCTCAGAATTGATCTGGCCATTCTGGAATGCAATTTGGAACTTTCCCCTGAAAGTCACTAAACTAAGTGTATATATAAACACACACACACACACACACACACACACACACACAGTGACCCAGCAATATCAGTACTAGGCACATACCCTAAAGAGACAGAGTGAAAAAGGACACTTTTGTACAAAAATATTCATAGCATATGTTTTGTAGTAAAAATCGGAACCTAAGGAAGCACTCATTAACTGGAGAATGGTTGAACAAATCCTAGCACCATAAGAAGTGGTGAAAAGGACACATTCAGTGAAATCTATGAACTATGTGACTCTGATCAACATGATTAACTATAATGCAAAGGACCAATGATGAAGCATACGTCCCATCCGTTAACAGAAGTAATACACTAGAAATACAGAATGAGACATTCATTTTTGGACAAAGTCTATGTGTGGCTTTTTTTGTTGTTTTAAGGCAATTGGGGTTGTGACTTGCCCAAAGTCACACAGCTAGTGAGTGCTACATGTCTGAGGCCAGATTTGAACTCAGGTCCTCCTGACTCCAGGGCCAGTGCTCCACTGTGCCACCTAGCTGCCCCCATGGATTTGTTTTGCTTGACTTTTTTTCTTAATTGCTACAAAGGAGGGGAGGGTGGGTGGGATTTTTTCCCCAGGTGGGGAAAGAGTGGGTTTGGTGATAAAGATGCCAAAAACAAAAGTAGAAAAGAAAAAAGAAAGTGTCGTTGCAGTATTTGAGGGAAAATGATCACATGGCCAATGATATGGAGAGCTAGACATTTTCTTCATTCCTCACAACCTTTCAAACATCTCTAAAATAGGAATTGCGTAGCATGGACATAGCAATTTCAGCTGTATCCAGTTGTCTCTACAATCTAAGACACCAAGAACTCAGACAAGGTAAAAAATTTGATGAACAACAGAGAAAGCTGATAATTGATAAACCATAACCAAGTGTTCACCAACACCCCCTCCTCAAAAGCCCACTATGCACACAGCAGCAGGGGGTACATAGGTTGCTCTTGGCAACAGAACTCAATTCCATCCCAAATCTCCTGCATTCCCCCCCCCCCAATTGTCTCCCACCTCATCCTTAAGTCCTGTGGAGATCCAAATAGAAGAAATTGGCTTAGGCTTTGATAGCATGGCAGTGATCTGTGCTGCCGGGCCAGAGAACTGAGGAACAAGGTAACAGGGAAAGGATGCACGGGTGGCTGTGTGGCAGTCTGTTAGGCTGGGGGAGAGTACCTGGCATCCATCTGGGGCTAGTTTTGTCCCCCACCAGAAGTCATTCATAGCAGTGACCAATGCTGGTGAACCATGAATTACCCAGCATAGAAGCTGAGATGCTGAGATCCAGCCCTCAAGGACACCAGCCTCAAAGGGGAAGAAGTCAGAAAGTAAGCAATACAGAAAAATAAGGAAAAAACTAGAATTACCCAAGATGTTAGGAGGAAGAAAACCTTGAGCATAAGCAGATAAACCAGCCAGAAAGTTATTCATAGTAGAAGGTAATGTGGCCTCCAGATCAAGTGAAATAGTTCAGGCATTTATACATAAGTATTGCAAGATGAGGGGAAATGAATTAACACCTGATGAGGCAGAGGATCCTGTAGTTTCCCAAGATAGAACAGAGCAATAGTAGGATGTGTCTGAATAATTTAAAAGAAAAGAAATGTGAAAGCAAAATTCATTACCTGCACGGCAGAAATAATTAGTAGAACAGAAAACTTTGAATCAATGGCGGCAAATCTCACCAAAGAAACAAAAGAGAGGATAATTATTGGGAATGTAAATGCACAGAAGCGAAGCACAATCTGGAAGAAAAGCAAGATGCAATAACATTTTTAAAAAGTATGATTTCTTCACAAGGACAGGCTGTATAAAAACAACTTCAGGATTTTAGGGCTCCCAGAAGAACATGAAATGTCAAAAACCCTGGATACCCTAATGCAGGATATAATTCAAGAAAACTGCCGAGAGCTTTCAAACAACAGAAAACAAAGTACCAATTCAATGAATCCTCAGATCTCAAAAAAACCCCAAACACCCCATGCTCCAAACCCTGAGACAGCTAAGGGCTAAACTTCGGAATTCCACTGACCAACTAAGTCTACAAGCAACCAGAATAAAGACTTTCAATATAAAGAAAAGGAAATTAGAAGAAAACAAAACTATTCTGCACTTACCAGAAACCAAAGGAGGGAATAGACAAATATGTTCCAAAGAGCAAAGGAGTTCAAGATGCAGCCCAGAATGTCTCATACCTTGCAAATCTGAGCCTAGCCATAAATGAAAAAAAATTTTTCAATGATAAAAAGCCATTCAAAACATTCCTGGGGAAAAAAAAACCCCAACAACAACAAACCCAAACCTGAAGGAATTATTTGCTTCTTGAACACTCTAGATAACAGATATATAAGAAAGGTAAACAAATACAGTAAGTATGCCCTTTTCCCCTTTATCTGAATCATTAATAAAAATGCTAAATAGCACAGAACCAAACAAAAATCTTAGGCACACTCTTTCCATTAAAAACTGTCGTTTAAGACCAGTCCTCAGTTCTAAAAACC